TTTCTTTTATTTTTAATTAAATGTTAAGTATTTTTCTAGGCGTGTAAATGTTGCGTACAGAACAACAATAATAAAAGTAATTTTTTACTTTAAAACTGTACCCTTGAAATTTTAATTACACATTTAATAATTGCCAAAAGATTAATTTAATTTTTACTGAACATAATGCAAATTATTATGACCATGTCTTATTGTGTTCTTATTAATTAACTTCTTAAAGCAATCGTTAATTGTACGATATCGAAGTCAAGAGGTTAAAAAAAGCTTACAGGGAAAAAAACAACAAAATTAATACTTGTACAAAATATTGTTTGGAATAAAGAATTCTTAAAAAGAAAACAATGGTTAATCTGTCGATAAACTTGGACCTTTTGACTTGATATATAAAATGAGAGTATTTGCAATAAGATTTGAGACCTTAGGAGAACGGTAAACAATGAGGATTATTGTTCTTTTAATATTACTTTACGGATTTTGTGAAGCCGCCCCTTCTGAAAGTGGCAATACAGAATCTGAAGTCAGTAAGTGTATTCCAATATTTATTTGATAATATAAAAAATAATTCAATAAATCAATTCTCATTTAAGCTGACAGGGAGTTGTTGAAGAAAACAAAGCAGGTGTTTAGAATTCTAAGGTTTATAAACCAACCGAGTCATTATAAGGAGCTGGTGGATATCGCAAAAAACTATTCGATATACGACCAAGAAAGCAAATTTTCTGTAAGTATTAAAAAAGTAAAAGACAAGTTGTCATGCAGGACAATTGCTAATTTGTTTTTTACTTATTATTGTTTGCTAGAACGAGCAGGCATTCAAACAATTTTTGCAACACTACCAGACGGGCCTCCTTCCCCGTGGGACACAGTTTTCTGTCTTTTACTATGAACATTTAAAACAAGCCATTGCTTTGTTTAAACTACTGTACTATGCTAAAGATTACGACACATTTTTCAAAACAGCTGTATGGGCTCGTCAGAACTTAAACGAGGGCCTCTTCTTGTATTCATTTTCGGTAGCTTTGAAGCATCGCAATGATACTTACAAAGTCATCTTGCCTCCAATTTACGAACTGAATCCGTATTATTTTGTTACTGGCGATTCAATTTACCAAGTGCAGAAATTCAAACAGTTGTACCATGGACAGCAACTGAATGGTTGATGTTTCGAGTCAAATATCATGCAAATAGAATTACATATAATAATTTTTTAGAACCCTACATCATCCCGACGAATTATACAAGCCAAAATGTGCAACATTCCCTGGCTTATTTCTTAGAAGATATAGGCCTAAATGCTTATTACTATTATTTCAATTTGTATTATCCCTTTTGGTTGGGAGGTGAAGAGTTTAAGATGAAAAACGACAGAAGAGGTGAATTATACTATTTCGTACACCAACAACTTTTGGCTCGTTATTATTTGGAAAGGCTCTCCAACCATGCGGGTGACATTCCTATTTTAGAATATGATATTCCAGCGAAAACAGGGTATCGTCCCCATTTAGTATATTCAAGTGGGACTCCGTTTCCATCTAGGGAAAACCCTACATATCTTCCAAGGAAATTTGACTATTACGAATCAAAAATGACATTCAATAATTATTACTCTGTCCAAGATTTGGAAAGACGTATCGTTGATGCCATTGACGCAGGATTCGTTTATACCGTACGTTCGTAAGACATACTATTTTGCAAATTTTTAAAAAGTTTGTGTTTCATTAGGAAAAAGGCGAAAAGGTGGACATATATACCCCTGAAGGTTTCAATATTCTTGGAAACATAATTGAAGGGAATGCCGATTCTCTAAACAGCCGTTTCTATGGTCATTTGCAAATCTTTGCCCATCAATTGGTAGTAGACAATCACATTCAACCTGACGAATACCATGTGGTACCGTCTGTTTTGCAACACTTTGAAACATCCCTACGAGATCCTATATACTGGGAATTTATGAAGAGAATAGTCGTTCTTTTCCAATCATATAAATTACATTTGCCAAAATACTCTTACCATGAACTTAACTTTTCAGGGGTAAAGGTTGAAAACCTAGATGTAGACCCATTAGTTACTCTTTTTGACTACACCGATTATGACATCGCCGGCAGCGTAATTTTAAATCCTCACGAGTTCGAAAGAGATCCTTTTGTTATATTAGCTCGTCAAACACGTTTAAATCATAAGCCCTTTTCATATACTGTCAATGTAACCAGTGATAAAGAGCAACAGGCTGTGATACGAACGTTTATTGGACCCAAATGTGATCAGTATGGGCAGCCTATCGATATTAACGAACACCGACTTAATTTTTTCCAACTTGATACTTTTGTAACTAAACTTAATGCCGGAGTGAATGTCTTTAAACGAGATCATTCACAGTTTCATTTTGCACCAGATAAACCAACTTATAGGACTTTATACAATAAAATTAATAACGCTACCAATGAAGAACAACTTAAAACATCTCATACTGAATTTTCCTATGGATTTCCTCAAAGGTATTTTAATAAATATTATGTCGAGGAAGCGCTTTATGTGAACTCTTTATTCTTTTTTAGATTTATTCTTCCAAAAGGTCAGAGAGCAGGTCAAATGTTTCAGTTTTTCGTTATAGTAACACCACGTAAAGGAAATTTAGCTCCAGATAATATCTACATGGGTGGTATTTTAAAAGTCGGAAGTGGCAATCAGTATGTTGACTCCCTTCCTCTTGGTTACCCTTTTGATAGGGTTGTTGATAAAGATGCGTTTGTTTCTGTACAAAATTCCTACTTCAAAGATGTAATCATTTATCATAAGTAGATGTTAAGTAAAACTTTGAATGTGATTGAAAAAGATAATAAAACTGTTCTATTCTATTCATTAATGTCTATGAAACATAATATTTTATACAATTAACCAATTCATAAATTAAATAAAGAAATAAATACAGCATCACAAGATGATTACAATTTACAATTCATCACCTGCAGAATATTTCTTCCTCTTCTGCTTCCAGCCGTAAGTTGGAGGACAGTAGCATGCTTCTTTTTGGGCATCTAGGTATGATTTACAGCCAAGGGCCATTGTTCCAGTAAATAAGGTTTTAGCTGCCCCTTTACAAGCTGAAAAGAAATGTTCTTAGAATTCACAATTGAACCATGCAACATTACTTTACTTTTCACGATAGTTTCACCAACTGTGGGCTTATATGATTCACAGTACTTATATAAACACCTTCTAAATTCTAGATCACATAATTCTTTGTCCTTATTACAAGTGTCATAGCAAATGTCGTGCTGATCACAACACTTAGTCATCTCTCCAACTGGTAGATACTGGCTATCAATTTTTAATCCCAAGGAGCCACAGCCATTACCTTTTGGGATATGATTTCTATTTGGCACAGGTTTGACTCCTTTAATCAAAAAAGTATGTATAAAGTACAAATTAGAATTTGCTTAGGTTACCTGCAGTAGGGCATTTAAAAACACAATTTTCTTCTACAGCTGCGTCAAAAACTTCATGAATACTCTTGAAATTCTTCGCAATGTATGTTATAGGCATTGGAGAAATAATTAGTTGAAGGTAACTGATTAGGGGTTGTTTAGCCACTTCTTAGCATAGATATTAGACATATCAATTGTCTCTGGTTTTATCTATGATCTTTGTTCTTTTAATTATTAGGTTAGGTACGTTTGTGTAAATAAAGTAGGGTTATGTTATTGTGACGAGATGTTTTGTGTATGATTTATACTTTATCGTGCTTTTAGACCAATATTGTACGAATTTATCGACTTGTAAATAGTAAATGGTGAATTTATTGTGTAGTGTAAAAGTTTTATGAAATATTCAATTTTTTCATATTTGTAATTTTATCGTGCAATACGCTCTAGCGTTTATAAAGTTGGAAAATGGGGCGTACTGTTGGGTAAGGTAGTTTATTGGAATAATTATATTTTAAATATTTCGCATAAACCACTATTTGATTCAATTTTACTCTGCAGAAGAGAAAGAAGTCGTTCACCAGATCGTAAACGTCGAAGATCTAGGAGTAAAGAAAAATCAAAGTCAAATCGTCACAGGAGAAGTAGATCGCGAGAAAGAAGAGAAAAACGTTCATACAGTCGAGAACGTAGACGGTAAAAATTTAAATTTTTGCTCCAATGTATGTAATTTTGCTATTATTATGTTTATATTGATAGAGGAGAAAGCAAAGAAAAACGTGTGTCAGGAAAGTCTCGTAAGAGGGAGAGGTCCCGATCAAGAAGTAGAACTCCAAAAGATTCAAAAAGTAAAAATGATGAACACTCCGAGCTACCTTTTGATCCAACTAATTTAGATAAGGTAAACAACTACTAAATAATTAATAAGATACTCTAAACTATAAAGAACCTCTTTATGTACCATAAAAAGGAAGAAGAACAGAAAAAGCTTGAATTGGAAATGCAGAAGAGAAGAGAAAGGATAGAAAGGTGGAGAGCAGAGAGGAAGAAAAAGGAACAAGAAATATTCAAAAAAGAAGGAGTGAAGAATATAGGTAATATTCCTCAAGGCACGCTTAAAAAGTGGTCCCTAGAGGATGACTCTGGTGAAGAGGATAGTGTTACTGAAAAGGAAAAAGAGGAAACTGAAGAGAAAGAAAAAGAAGAAGTTAAAGAAGAGGAGGAACCCAAACCATCAGAAGAACCACAACCAGAAGAAGAAGAACTGGATCCTTTAGATGCATTTATGCAAGGTAATTTATTATATACCATGTCATAGTTATGGAATAATAAAAGTACATTTAACAATGAAGGTGTTCAAGAAGAAGTTAGGAAAATTAACAAACTAGATTTGAAAAAGAACAAATCGGATGTTGCAAGTTCCAAGAAGGGAATGGTAATTGTAACAGGAATTGCAAAAACCAAAATAAATAAGGACAAGGGAGAGTTGATAGAACAGAATCAAGATGGATTGGAATATTCTTCAGAAGAAGAAGAGGAAGATTTAAAAGACACAGCTGCTAATATTGCAAATAAACAAAGAAAAGATCTTATTAAAATCGACCATAATCATATCCATTATGCACCATTTAGAAAGAATTTCTATGTTGAAGTACCTGAAATTGCCAAAATGAGCAGTCAAGAAGTCGAAGCTTATAGGGAAGAATTAGAGGGAATAAGAATGAAAGGTAAGACTTACTTATAATTGATGAATGTAAAAGTCAAATTAAATATTTTGTTTTCTTTTCAAAGGAAAGGGTTGTCCAAGACCTATAAAGACATGGGCACAGTGTGGAGTCTCCACCAAGGAACTGAATGTATTAAAGAAGCTTGGTTTTGAGAAACCGACTCCTATTCAAGCTCAAGCTATTCCTGCAATAATGTCCGGTCGTGATCTCATTGGTATTGCGAAAACGGGAAGTGGTAAAACTTTAGCATTTTTACTTCCCATGTTTCGGCACATATTAGACCAGCCTCCCTTAGAAGAAACTGACGGCCCCATTGCCATCGTGATGACACCCACACGGGAGTTGTGTATGCAAATAGGAAAAGACATTAAAAAGTTTACCAAAAGTTTAAATTTACACGCCGTTTGTGTTTATGGTGGCACTGGCATTTCTGAGCAGATTGCTGAGCTAAAAAGGGGCGCTGAAATAATTGTATGCACTCCAGGGAGGATGATTGATATGTTGGCGGCAAACGGAGGGAAAGTTACTAATTTGAAAAGGGTTACCTATATAGTACTAGATGAAGCAGACAGAATGTTTGATATGGGCTTCGAACCTCAAGTATGTGTAACTAATTTTAAATTTAGGTAAAAATTATGCAGAATTGATAAATTAACAAATGCAGGAAAAATTCCCCTTGTATTTATATGTTCCTGTTGTTTCTATTTTATTTACAGAGATAATTAGTTATGTACTACCCATAAGACTGAAACATAACTTAATATATTTATAAACAATTTTTTTTATCTTCAGACTGTATAAATAAATATTTTTTAATTGATAATTGATCAGGTGATGAGAATAATCGACAACGTTCGTCCTGATCGTCAGACGGTTATGTTTAGCGCGACTTTTCCACGTCAGATGGAGGCCCTTGCCCGTCGAATTCTTTTGCGTCCAATCGAGGTCCAAGTAGGAGGTCGTTCCGTCGTTTGCAAGGACGTTGAGCAGCACGTTATCATTCTTGAAGAGGAACAAAAATTCCTAAAATTACTGGAATTACTTGGACTCTACCAGCAGCTCGGTAGCATTTTGGTTTTTGTTGACAAGCAAGAGAACGCTGACATTCTTCTCAAAGAGCTCATGCGATCTGGTTATAGTTGTATGAGCCTTCACGGTGGAATCGACCAGTTTGATCGCGATTCCACTATAATAGATTTTAAATCTGGTAAAGTTAAATTGCTTATTGCCACCAGTGTGGCTGCTCGGGGACTTGATGTGAAGCACTTGATACTCGTCGTTAATTATGATTGTCCAAACCACTATGAGGATTATGTGCATCGCTGTGGAAGAACAGGGAGAGCAGGCAACAAAGGATTTGCATACACATTTATTACTCCTGAACAGGTATTTATTCGACAGCATTTTATCTTTATCATTCCTGTAAAATTGCTCATAATGTACACCTTTTAGGAAAGATACGCTGGAGACATTGTAAAAGCATTGGAACTAGCTTCAGTTCCAGTACCTGATGGTTTAAAACAGCTTTGGGAGACGTACAAGACAAAGCAGGAAGCTGAAGGTACACAGTGGAGTTACATATGTTTATTATTTAACTTAAGTTTTTATTGTTTATGTAGGTAAAAAGGTGCATACGGGAGGTGGTTTTAGTGGTAAAGGTTTTAAATTCGACGAGTCGGAAGCTGCTGCTGCAAACGAGCGCAAAAAGTTCCAAAAAGCCGCCCTTGGACTCCAAGATTCCGACGACGAAGACCTCGAAAACGATATTGATCAACAGATTGAAAGCATGTTTGCAACCAAAAGAACTGTTAAAGAAATCAAAGCCCCTATTGGTAACTTTTACTCGTTTAATTAGTTTGTTTGAACTTGGTTTATAATAACTGATTGAAAATTGCAGGTATTGCAAATCCTACCAGTACGGTGGGCATGGCGTCGGCCCTCGACAAGCTCGAACTGGCGCGTCGTTTGGCGTCGAAAATAAATCTGACCAAAAACATAGGAGCTGACACAAAATTCGCCACCCAGCAGGCAGCTGAATCAATACTAAAAGGTAGCGGATCCCATCCTTTGATCACGGCCAAAACGGTGGCCGAACAATTGGCCGCAAAACTGAACACCAAATTGAACTATCAACCGAAAGATGAGGACGACAGAAACGACGATGACGCCGAACAAACATTTCGAAAATATGAGGAAGAACTCGAAATCAACGACTTTCCACAGCAAGCTAGGTGGAGAGTCACCTCTAAGGTATTAAATACAAGTGATTTATTTATCTTACAATCTGACTATTTATATTGTTTACTTCTTTCGTTGCTCACTGTTTGTATCATCAGTCATATATCGACATATATACACTTATGGAACATTCGTGATTATTTCCAGAAACTTCGTGTAGGTTCATTTTGTCGTGTAGTTTGTAGTATTGACCGCTGTCTGCGGCATTTGTAAATTATTTGTTCTATATTTACCGTTTTTCTAAATTGTATTTCTTTTATGATTTTATTAGGAGGCTCTTGCTCAAATATCGGAATATTCGGAAGCTGGTATCACTGTCCGTGGTACGTATGTTCCATCAGGAAAAAATCCTCCAGAGGGTGAAAGAAAGTTGTACTTGGCGATCGAGAGTACAAGCGATATTGCAGTGTCTAAAGCGAAATCCGAAATTACTAGATTAATAAAAGAGGAGTTGCTTAAATTACAGACAGCAGGTCATCATACATTTAACAAGGCCCGTTATAAAGTTATTTAAAGTATTTATTTTATTTCTTTTATTTTTAATTAAATGTTAAGTATTTTTCTAGGCGTGTAAATGTTGCGTACAGAACAACAATAATAAAAGTAATTTTTTACTTTAAAACTGTACCCTTGAAATTTTAATTACACATTTAATAATTGCCAAAAGATTAATTTAATTTTTACTGAACATAATGCAAATTATTATGACCATGTCTTATTGTGTTCTTATTAATTAACTTCTTAAAGCAATCGTTAATTGTACGATATCGAAGTCAAGAGGTTAAAAAAAGCTTACAGGGAAAAAAACAACAAAATTAATACTTGTACAAAATATTGTTTGGAATAAAGAATTCTTAAAAAGAAAACAATGGTTAATCTGTCGATAAACTTGGACCTTTTGACTTGATATATAAAATGAGAGTATTTGCAATAAGATTTGAGACCTTAGGAGAACGGTAAACAATGAGGATTATTGTTCTTTTAATATTACTTTACGGATTTTGTGAAGCCGCCCCTTCTGAAAGTGGCAATACAGAATCTGAAGTCAGTAAGTGTATTCNTCTAATATGCCAGACCCAAAACCCAAATAAATATAGGCTATAAACGTTAAACAATAAATGACAATTTTTCCATAAGGAATATCCATTATGTGCCCTAATTATTTGTAATGTTTTGCAAAATATATATTGGGAAATTACACATTACATGCTATTTTTATTGAGCAATGACTGGAAAGAAAGCAAATTTTCTGTAAGTATTAAAAAAGTAAAAGACAAGTTGTCATGCAGGACAATTGCTAATTTGTTTTTTACTTATTATTGTTTGCTAGAACGAGCAGGCATTCAAACAATTTTTGCAACACTACCAGACGGGCCTCCTTCCCCGTGGGACACAGTTTTCTGTCTTTTACTATGAACATTTAAAACAAGCCATTGCTTTGTTTAAACTACTGTACTATGCTAAAGATTACGACACATTTTTCAAAACAGCTGTATGGGCTCGTCAGAACTTAAACGAGGGCCTCTTCTTGTATTCATTTTCGGTAGCTTTGAAGCATCGCAATGATACTTACAAAGTCATCTTGCCTCCAATTTACGAACTGAATCCGTATTATTTTGTTACTGGCGATTCAATTTACCAAGTGCAGAAATTCAAACAGTTGTACCATGGACAGCAACTGAATGGTTGATGTTTCGAGTCAAATATCATGCAAATAGAATTACATATAATAATTTTTTAGAACCCTACATCATCCCGACGAATTATACAAGCCAAAATGTGCAACATTCCCTGGCTTATTTCTTAGAAGATATAGGCCTAAATGCTTATTACTATTATTTCAATTTGTATTATCCCTTTTGGTTGGGAGGTGAAGAGTTTAAGATGAAAAACGACAGAAGAGGTGAATTATACTATTTCGTACACCAACAACTTTTGGCTCGTTATTATTTGGAAAGGCTCTCCAACCATGCGGGTGACATTCCTATTTTAGAATATGATATTCCAGCGAAAACAGGGTATCGTCCCCATTTAGTATATTCAAGTGGGACTCCGTTTCCATCTAGGGAAAACCCTACATATCTTCCAAGGAAATTTGACTATTACGAATCAAAAATGACATTCAATAATTATTACTCTGTCCAAGATTTGGAAAGACGTATCGTTGATGCCATTGACGCAGGATTCGTTTATACCGTACGTTCGTAAGACATACTATTTTGCAAATTTTTAAAAAGTTTGTGTTTCATTAGGAAAAAGGCGAAAAGGTGGACATATATACCCCTGAAGGTTTCAATATTCTTGGAAACATAATTGAAGGGAATGCCGATTCTCTAAACAGCCGTTTCTATGGTCATTTGCAAATCTTTGCCCATCAATTGGTAGTAGACAATCACATTCAACCTGACGAATACCATGTGGTACCGTCTGTTTTGCAACACTTTGAAACATCCCTACGAGATCCTATATACTGGGAATTTATGAAGAGAATAGTCGTTCTTTTCCAATCATATAAATTACATTTGCCAAAATACTCTTACCATGAACTTAACTTTTCAGGGGTAAAGGTTGAAAACCTAGATGTAGACCCATTAGTTACTCTTTTTGACTACACCGATTATGACATCGCCGGCAGCGTAATTTTAAATCCTCACGAGTTCGAAAGAGATCCTTTTGTTATATTAGCTCGTCAAACACGTTTAAATCATAAGCCCTTTTCATATACTGTCAATGTAACCAGTGATAAAGAGCAACAGGCTGTGATACGAACGTTTATTGGACCCAAATGTGATCAGTATGGGCAGCCTATCGATATTAACGAACACCGACTTAATTTTTTCCAACTTGATACTTTTGTAACTAAACTTAATGCCGGAGTGAATGTCTTTAAACGAGATCATTCACAGTTTCATTTTGCACCAGATAAACCAACTTATAGGACTTTATACAATAAAATTAATAACGCTACCAATGAAGAACAACTTAAAACATCTCATACTGAATTTTCCTATGGATTTCCTCAAAGGTATTTTAATAAATATTATGTCGAGGAAGCGCTTTATGTGAACTCTTTATTCTTTTTTAGATTTATTCTTCCAAAAGGTCAGAGAGCAGGTCAAATGTTTCAGTTTTTCGTTATAGTAACACCACGTAAAGGAAATTTAGCTCCAGATAATATCTACATGGGTGGTATTTTAAAAGTCGGAAGTGGCAATCAGTATGTTGACTCCCTTCCTCTTGGTTACCCTTTTGATAGGGTTGTTGATAAAGATGCGTTTGTTTCTGTACAAAATTCCTACTTCAAAGATGTAATCATTTATCATAAGTAGATGTTAAGTAAAACTTTGAATGTGATTGAAAAAGATAATAAAACTGTTCTATTCTATTCATTAATGTCTATGAAACATAATATTTTATACAATTAACCAATTCATAAATTAAATAAAGAAATAAATACAGCATCACAAGATGATTACAATTTACAATTCATCACCTGCAGAATATTTCTTCCTCTTCTGCTTCCAGCCGTAAGTTGGAGGACAGTAGCATGCTTCTTTTTGGGCATCTAGGTATGATTTACAGCCAAGGGCCATTGTTCCAGTAAATAAGGTTTTAGCTGCCCCTTTACAAGCTGAAAAGAAATGTTCTTAGAATTCACAATTGAACCATGCAACATTACTTTACTTTTCACGATAGTTTCACCAACTGTGGGCTTATATGATTCACAGTACTTATATAAACACCTTCTAAATTCTAGATCACATAATTCTTTGTCCTTATTACAAGTGTCATAGCAAATGTCGTGCTGATCACAACACTTAGTCATCTCTCCAACTGGTAGATACTGGCTATCAATTTTTAATCCCAAGGAGCCACAGCCATTACCTTTTGGGATATGATTTCTATTTGGCACAGGTTTGACTCCTTTAATCAAAAAAGTATGTATAAAGTACAAATTAGAATTTGCTTAGGTTACCTGCAGTAGGGCATTTAAAAACACAATTTTCTTCTACAGCTGCGTCAAAAACTTCATGAATACTCTTGAAATTCTTCGCAACAGTTACAACATTTTGCAAGACGTCTCCAAAAACATTTTCAGCTGCTAGAACTGCATCACGTAAATTCTCTAATATGCCAGACCCAAAACCCAAATAAATATAGGCTATAAACGTTAAACAATAAATGACAATTTTTCCATAAGGAATATCCATTATGTGCCCTAATTATTTGTAATGTTTTGCAAAATATATATTGGGAAATTACACATTACATGCTATTTTTATTGAGCAATGACTGGAAAGTTGATAAAAGTAAGGTTAGAGTTTGACAAATAAAATAGAGGTTAGAATCTGCTCAAATCTGTTGTNTATTTACATTATTCGAGAGCTCGGATAATGCAAAAGAGATGAATTGGAAGAAAACAAACGTTTCTATGTATTCCAATTTGTCCTTTCGTTTATACATATTATAGGTACTACCACCGTACTAAAGCTCATTACAATTCAAATTTAATTCAGTTCGTGTAACATTAATTATCGGAATGTATGCAAGTTACGTTGTCGTTTAAAACACCGCGCGACTCTTTCATTAAATACTCATTTCCGTGGGTGACTACATTTGACGTTAAATCAAGTTTTAATCAGTGCCGATATTAAAATCGGTGTTATGCATATTCTGCCATTTTCAATCTCAATTAGCGGATTTTAATTAGAACAAAAAAAAATCGATCAGGTACATTACACTCGCTTGTTCCCATCAGCTTTCGTCGTTAATAATGAAGAGTGATGATGACCTGCATACTTCTTAAATACTATTTAAAAAAATGTAAGTACGAAAACAAAAAGGTAACTTTAGTGCTTTTTACTAAAAGTTTGCGAGATGTTGTTTTTATCATTAGTTAGACGCATTTTAGTTTACGTGCTTACAGGTACCCCAAGGGTGCCGTTATTCATTCAGATGTTCTTGTTGAAATTATTATTTATATGTAGAAACAATGTCGAAAGTTTTGCGACAGTGTTCTGTAAGAGTTTTAGAATCTAGAGAAGACAGTAACTAATAAATCACAGTATTACATGCGCCATGAGATTTATAGTGTTGGCGAAGTTTTGGGGACCATAAAGACGTAAAGAGAACTTCCTGTCTGCTGTCTTTTACTTCCGGTTTATTTAAATAATAAGTATTAAACGCTTAGATACTTTAAAATAAACTGAGTGTTGAATTAAAATTTGATTCGAAGTAAAAAAAAACAATTTTGTAACTACGAATACGCATAGTGCGCTTAAAGAATCTTAAGTTAAAATTTAAAAGTTTGGGAAGTCTCTATTATCTATTACGAAAAATACTTGTGAATCGATACTTTGTGGTAGGAATTAAGAAAAGAAATTGTTCGTATCGGATTGCGGAGGTAACTGAGTGCAGGTACAGATACAGGGTGTTTATTAAACATAAGATCGAAGAGGTTAATCTTTGGGTTGTTTCCTTTCGAAGATACAAGGCGATAAATATATTTCGACAATAGCAATATTATTTAAACTTTCTAGCCTGCAGTTATTGTGAAATCACATTTATTTAACAAAAAAATCAAAGACGAAACACCCGGTATATGTACCTATATAGAAAATAACAAATGTTTTGTATTTTGTCGATTTCGAATTATATTTTTGCCGGTGCTTCGTTCTCACGCTTTCGCGCGTCCGTTTCGTTGAATCGAACTGAAATTGTTTTTTTATAAATGTGGTGAACCATGTCTCTAAATCGACTTTTGGTCTATGCTCTCAATAGTTTTTAATACGATTGCTTTACTGTTGAAACCATTCTCACTACTACTGCTGCTACAACGCTTTTATAGAATTATATCGTGGCTGTTAACTAAAGCGGATCATTTTTTTTTGTGAAGTAGTGCTAACAGGTAGGTACGTGTACAAATATAAAATTAAAAGAGTGCGGAACGACCGGTTCCACAGCTCACATGTGGACAAGGTGAAGTAAGAGATTTAAAATGGATTTATTGATCTTGTGTTATTTTATTAGTTATAAGAAAGGATGAATTTAAGAACAAAGGCTTTCACGGCCGGAACCCATAGTAGAATGAAGATTCGGGTTATAGGGCCGTGATCTAAGTGAACTATTGTGTCCAGACGTTTTGTCAGCTACTGCGACTGACATCCTCAGTGGTAGTGCTGCGTTGACAACGTGAACGTAGATTATATCTCGAAGTCTCGGCAGCGACTGGGACCCAGTCTCTACTAAAGATGAATTTCGAATTTCCCTACACCACATCGTATTTTTCAATGGATGATGATGATTTTTTATTCTTACGACGTGCTGTAACCCTTGAAAAATATTCCCATTAACACTTTTTATTACATTATACTATACGTCTTCTCCCTCTCGTCCGGTTCCTGTAAATATAATGTTATTGTGCAATTATCGTTGAGTCTTCCACTTCTAATACATATATGTATGTATAGAATCTACGTAATAAGTTGTCGTCTTAGGACTTGTTTACGTATGTTTTCTGAAAATTTCCGGAAACGTTTTCCCGGATCTCGAGTTAACGTGATTTCCGGTCGGACGAAGTCAGAGGGCGACAACGGCTACGATAACACGTAAACTATGGAAACGTAATCAAGAGGGCCGCTTTCCTTTCGTGGCCTACTTCGTAACGCTATCCCTATATTTTATTCGAGCGAACGGAACACGTTAAACGTTAACTTATCCATAAATGTATGGATTTGATGCATGGTTTGAATCTGAAATTGGTGTCGAAAAAGGGTAAATTACGTCATTATCATCATCACAATCATCGTCATCAGAAGACCTTTAGTACGAAGGCAGGTTCCATTGCTTTTTAATCTGAGCCAATTTTCTCATTTCACTAAAACGACAATATCCCACATCCCTAACTATATGCCAAGAGTAACCTAATCTAGGTCTACCACCACCCCTATTTACTACGTTCTCGTTCCTGACTAACCCTTCAAAATCTCACCTTTTCCATATTGGTCTCTGTTCTTTTACTTTTTCCAATACTCTCTACAAGAAACTGAAAGTCAGCTGGCAATGTTGAGAACTGGAACGTAACAACAACTCAAAATGCTTTGGCGTCAAATTAGACAGAATCCTGAAGGACAAACAACAGTCTGAGGACACCAAGAAGAAGCTCTTCATTCGGAAAAATGTAATGATGGGTCGACTGGGGGGGGGGGTCAACTACACGTTCTGTATATGACAGATCTAGAGCTCAGTTTCTCAGAAAAGATGGGGTTTAGTACGTCTGGATCCACGCCAAACAAGTGGAAGTGGCGGATCATGTCGGGCTGTCTGAGATCAACTATCGTCGACAAGATTTGCTCCATAATTGGAATAGAGCTAATAAAAATCAGAAGGGACATGGACATTCTTTGTTCTAACACCCGCCACAGTCGACAAGGCTTAAGTTATTTTTAAAGATTGCTGAACTTCTAATTTATCCTATGGAACGGCGACTTAATCTTTGGAAAGAGGAAGTGATTCCAATAGTGGAACAGTGATATGAGGAATCCGTGGACTTCCAATTGTCTTTTGCTCTATGGAATAGTCATCCTATGCAAGACGGATTTAGTCAAATGGGCTGCAATACAGATGACAAGTGCTAGTGCGAGGAGACTCACTTTTCAGAACATCAATTGGTCTGTCCTTTGGAGATAACGACAAGGCAACATACCATGTTGCTGTACATTGGAGTTCAGCTATTGGAGTCTAGCATTTCAAATTATTATAGATATGAAAGATGACGATGAATACTTCTTCATTTCTACTATCTGCAGTCAAAGCCATAGTATTTTAATCGTCCACGTATACCTAACGCATGTTGTTCACGTTTCCTACCTGAACAGAGCCGTGTTCCAAACATTCATCTTCAACAATATTTTTCCAGTTTCCAAAGTAACAGTACGCCAGCACAGAAGTTATTTCGTATTTGTAAATTACGTGTAATAATGTAATTTCGATTAGGTGTGTTGGATGACACGCGACCTGTGGGTCAATAAAGAAGGCATGCGTCTAATCAAGAACTTGTCATGAGCTAAAGATAGATTGGCTCGTAACTTAATGATTTATTGGCGTCAGTGCGAGTAGAAAAAGTGGCCCGTGAGGGTAAAGGTGACGGGCCTGACATATGTCCCAGAGAATCTTGAGCGTCACACAAAGAACTCGAATGTTCCCCAAACTTCATTTTTTTTCTCTTTCATCCCACGAGTTTCGAAAAAGCGTGAACATTTACGTTGACACTAACGACTACAGAACCGAATTTTATTCAGATAGCAACCGATTTCTTTATCTAATCGCAAAAAAATCAACAGAAAACGAAAAGAAAATGGTCCAGTTTCGATATGGAATTTCCCAATTTTTGTCAGAATATCATAATAGCGACATGCGAACAATTTGTCAACCAACTGATCTGCTTTTTGTGTTTGAACATAAACATTATTTTAAAGAGTAGTAGAATAGAAATCAATAAGAAATATGCGAGATAGGTTGGTAGGACACCTTCTCAGGCATGAAGGGTTACTTAGAGCCACATTGGAAGCAAAAACAAAAGATAAGGGGGTAGAGGGAGATCTAGATTAGATTACCGTTCACAAATAGTTAAGGATGTGGATCTTCTAGTGTTAGGGATAGGATAGGAAAAAGTGTGGATGTGCGCGTCCAACCAGTCTTAGGACTGACGACCTTATGATGACGATATCTACTGATGATTTTAGACTTTCTATGCAACTGGGGGTCATCCAGAACGAATCGACTAATCAAAATCCACCTTCTTGTTAATCGTTTACGTTTTGCCCTCATTTAGGGGTCGATAAAACGTGTCAGACGTCAAGGATTATGTTATTCGTTGGGTGTCTTGCGTGAATGGCTATGTGAATACTAGGTCAGGATAGGACCTCCAGGTGCGTGTCTAATCAGTCTCACGTTGCATAGTAGCATTGTGAAGACCAGTACCGTTAGAATTAGGTTGGGTTGGGTTCGAAAGAAGTCTACAGTGGCTGCATTTTACGTCTCCATGGCTTCGCTTGGAAAATTGCAAATGTCAGTAGCACGAAAAGATAGAAAAAAGCGGCTTTGGTAAGAACGATGATTGCGCCAGTTGGTTTTTGGTAGGTAGTAAGTACGTTCATTTTTTTTTTGCGTTAATCTATTTCTTTCCCTATTGTTTTTGCGGCTTGTTCGAGTCGAGTCGAGGGTTGATCAGTGAAAATAAGTAGGATTCTGCCACACTCGTCATCGGGCCAACGCGTGTCATTCGTTTGCGAGGCGAGCGGTTTTATCATCATGTATAATACATTCGTAGAAGGCCAGGTCGTACGTAACAGGCGGCAAATCGATTCTAGTGCGCAGGCGGGCGCGGTCCCCGGACTCGAGTATCACCGTCAACCCGGAGCCGCAGTCTCTGCTCCGTGAAAACTCCGGCAGCTATCCGAAAGCTGTTTTTCCTATGCGCTGTTTCCACCTTCGTCGTCGCGCTTTATACATTACACAGATAGTGAGTGCATTCGCGTTCCTGTGTTCCGTCAAGGTGGTAGTGCTGTAACTGTATATGTATACAAACACGTTCTAAAGTCTGTTAAATTTGTTAATTTGACGATGAATCAGAAGTATCTAGTGATGACAGTGTGAAGGCCCACGTTCGCGAATCGATATCGTTATTTGTGTTTATCGGAAAATTGTTGACCACTTTCGGAAAAGTGGGTTAGCCGGGAAATAGAAGATAGGTCCAGTTGCAGCACTTAGTTTTTCGTTTTCCCGACGTGCTTTCTCACGTAACTTTCCACTCTTCTTTCCTGTTTCTTGTTATCTTCAACTCATTTTACCAGCTTGTCAATGTAGAGCAGATATTTGAATATCAAAGGTAAGAATGCTTCTGTACCAATTATTTTGCTTAATAATTTGTATCAGCTGGAATGGAAATCAAAAGATAGGTTACTTATAAAGGAAGTAAGGAAAAGGGAAAGTTTTTCTAGAGTTCTCAGTCAGAGAACTACAACTTTTTATGTTGCTTAATGAAGACTGGACATATTGCAAAGTTTTGTAAAGTTGTTAAGTTTCCAAAGGATTGCTAAAACCAGCAAGAGAATATTTTTGTTGTTTTATCCTGTTATTGGTGTATATTTCATTCGGAATAGTTAATCTAGGAATATACGTATCCAAATACCGTCCGAATGGTACGATTTTTATGAAATGTTATGTACTGGGACGAAAATAAATTATATTTGGTTTTACGGACAATAAAATTTGCATAATAAAATCGCGAGCGGTAGAAAATGGCAAAACATCATACGGTTGTGGTGCACATAAAAATTTATGTCTTTGTGGAAAAAATGGGACTCGAACAGAAATGACTTTGCTTATTTGTTCTGTCCGACGTTCACACTTCATTTCATATTAAAATATAATTAAAATGCACTTTTCAATCAGATTTTGACGCCGTTGAAAGAAAGAAAGATCAAAAGACCATGATACTTTTGAACATTTGAATTTAAGTTTGCTTTGATTAAAAGTAAGACTAAAATTCTTCTGGGTTTGTCTGAAATATTATTTGGGTTATATTGTTTCCATATTTTTTCTGGAAATTGCAAAGTTTTGATAATTTATGGATCTTGTTACAAGTGAATGTAGATATCTTTATTGAAGATAGCAATCCACAAAATTTTAAACTGTAGAGATTTGCAAACAGGTCTTCTTCAAGACCAATTCCAGCTCCAGGTGTCTCACTATTGGTTTTGATTTTGTGGTTATCACTTTCGGAGGTATTTGTAAAAGACAACTGAGAGTGTTGGTCTTTTCTGGAGTGTAACTAATGCTTTATTAATGTGAAGCCATTTGAATGTTTTCCCTCTTTTCCTATTTGTTCTCGTTCAATCTTTGTCGTACAAGAGACACATCGTGGAAATTCCTTTGGAAATTCTTTGAAGTTGTGCTAGTCTTGCGTTTAGCGGTATCTCAAGACTGATTTTGTTTCCTATGGCGATGAGCCTGGCTACAAAAGGTTTACGTGCTGGGGTAATGTGCAAAACAGTTATTCTTTCTTCTTCCTTGTTTTCCATCTTCTAGTTCTTGTATGTTTTGCAGAATGTACTTGTTAACGAGGAGTAAGATGATTTTCTCTGGAGGACAAAAGTTTCAAAATGCGAACGTTATTTTTTATTATGGGTTTAGGGCTGTTAAGAATTTAAGTATTTGTATGTCCTGATTAGCATTGTGATGGCTTTAGGAAAAGAAAATACTAAAAAATTTGCAATTTTACTTGTCGTGAACATTTTAGAAAAACCACCAAAAAGTGATTATTTATTTTCGCCTTTTTTCCTTTCATAAAGATGTGGTAGGCGACGCCTTTGTTATGAAGAACACAAAGTGTATTCAGAGTCTCACAATTAGACTCAAGTTTAGCTAATTGTTGACTTCTTAATTACGACGGAATTTTTTTCTTTTTTCTTTCATTCTTTTCTTTTCTTTTCATTCGTCGTCGACTTGACTGACAATTATTAAATACGCCCACCTTCATTTTTATTTATTTTTCACTTCCATGGGGCCTTTTCTTCTGGCGAAACAACGTCACACATTTCTTTTTATAACATCGTGCATCTATACTACTGTAGATAGAAATGCAATACAAAGGGATTTCCGTATCTCTTGACGTAACTAATTGTAAGTACGCTGTTAAATCTGACTTTAAAAAAGGTACATACATTTATCTCGTTAAACACTTTTACGTACTACGTTGGCTTACTTTTTAGATTGATTCCTGTTTCTTCATACATAATAAATGACATTAATACGACTTACGACTAAGCGTGGTATAAATATGAAACATTAAATACTACTTTTAGCAGTAAATACCTATAGATGCCGATATTCTGTCTGTCCCTTGACATTAGTAAAATTTAATATGTCTAGCAACTTTGATTTGATCGATGTTTGATCGACAGTAGCTTTATTGCGCCGATGAAAAGTAATAAGTCCGAAATCACGAATTACTGTAAAGCGTAGTATGAATATGAAACATTAAATACTACTTATAGCAGTAAATACCTATAGATGCCGATATTCTGTCTGTCCCTTGACATTAGTAAACTTTAATATGTCTAGAAACTTTGATTTGATCGATGATTGATCGACACTACCTTTATTGCGCCGACGAGAAGTAATATGTTCGAAATTACGATTTGCTGCAAAGCGTAGTATGAATATGAAACATTAAATACTACAGTTAGCAGTGAATACCTACAGATGCTGATATTCTGTCTGCACCTTGACGTTAGTGAACTTTAATATGTCTACAACTTTGATTTGATCGATGATAGATCGACACTACCTTTACTGCGCCGATGAGAAGTAGTAGCCTCAAAATCACGATTTACTGCAAAGCGTAGTATGAATATGAAACATTAAATACTACTTTTAGCAGTAAATACCTACAGATGCCGATATTCTGTCTGTCCCTTGACATAAGTAAACTTTAATATGTCTAGCAACTTTGATTTGATCGATGATTGATCGACAGTAGCTTTATTGCGCCGATGAAAAGTAATAAGTCCGAAATCACGAATTATTGTAAAGCGTAGTATGAATATGAAGCATTAAATACTACTTTTAGCAGTAAATACCTATAGATGCTGATATTCTGTCTGTCCCTTGACATTAGTAAACTTTAATATGTCTAGCAACTTTGATTTGATCGATGATTGATCGACACTACCTTTATTGCGCCGACGAGAAGTAATAAGTCCGAAATCTCAAATTACTGCAAAGCGTAGTATGAATATGAAACATTAATAACTACAGTTAGCAGTAAATACCTATAGATGCTGATATTCTGTCTGTCACTTGATGTTAGTAAACTTTAATACGTCTAGCAAATTTGATTTGATCGATGATTGATCGACACTACCTTTATTGCGCCGATGAGAAGTAGTAGCCTCAAAATTACGATTTACTGCAAAGCGTAGTATGAATATGAAACATTAAGTATTACTTTTAGCAGTAGATACCTATAGATGCCGATATTCTGTCTGTTCCTTGACATTAGTGAACTCTAATATATCTAGCAACTTTGATTTGATCGATGATTGATCGACAGTAGCTTTATTGCGCCGATGAGAAGTAGTAGCCTCAAAATCACGATTTACTGCAAAGCGTAGTATGAATATGAAACATTAAATACTACTTTTAGCAGTAAATACCTATAGATGCCGATATTCTGTCTGTTCCTTGACATTAGTGAACTCTAATATGTCTAGCAACTTTGATTTGATCGATGTTTGATCGACAGTAGCTTTATTGCGCCGATGAAAAGTAATAAGTCCGAAATCACGAATTACTGTAAAGCGTAGTATGAATATGAAACATTAAATACTACTTATAGCAGTAAATACCTATAGATGCCGATATTCTGTCTGTTCCTTGACATTAGTGAACTCTAATATGTCTAGCAACTTTGATTTGATCGATGATTGATCGACACTACCTTTATTGCGCCGATGAGAAGTAGTAGCCTCAAAATCACGATTTACTGCAAAGCGTAGTATGAATATGAAACATTAAGTATTACTTTTAGCAGTAAATACCTATAGATGCCGATATTCTGTCTGTTCCTTGACGTTAGTCAACTTGTTTGTATCAAATAACTTATTCTGTTTGATGGATGGCTAATAACAACTTTTGGTTGAGAAATAATAAGTTCGAAATTATGATCCACATGTGGTACTTTCGGTAACTGACTACAAATAAAATGTTCTTTATAATTTAATATTGTTTGCATGTTACTATTTTTCCAGAAAGCAAAGCAAACAAGGCAATTCTTTCTAAGAAGGACCTTTGAGGAACAGGATCTCGATTTGATCATTGTTGGTATTGCCTTTTTCTTCATCCAATTTATATAATAANCAGCATCACAAGATGATTACAATTTACAATTCATCACCTGCAGAATATTTCTTCCTCTTCTGCTTCCAGCCGTAAGTTGGAGGACAGTAGCATGCTTCTTTTTGGGCATCTAGGTATGATTTACAGCCAAGGGCCATTGTTCCAGTAAATAAGGTTTTAGCTGCCCCTTTACAAGCTGAAAAGAAATGTTCTTAGAATTCACAATTGAACCATGCAACATTACTTTACTTTTCACGATAGTTTCACCAACTGTGGGCTTATATGATTCACAGTACTTATATAAACACCTTCTAAATTCTAGATCACATAATTCTTTGTCCTTATTACAAGTGTCATAGCAAATGTCGTGCTGATCACAACACTTAGTCATCTCTCCAACTGGTAGATACTGGCTATCAATTTTTAATCCCAAGGAGCCACAGCCATTACCTTTTGGGATATGATTTCTATTTGGCACAGGTTTGACTCCTTTAATCAAAAAAGTATGTATAAAGTACAAATTAGAATTTGCTTAGGTTACCTGCAGTAGGGCATTTAAAAACACAATTTTCTTCTACAGCTGCGTCAAAAACTTCATGAATACTCTTGAAATTCTTCGCAACAGTTACAACATTTTGCAAGACGTCTCCAAAAACATTTTCAGCTGCTAGAACTGCATCACGTAAATTCTCTAATATGCCAGACCCAAAACCCAAATAAATATAGGCTATAAACGTTAAACAATAAATGACAATTTTTCCATAAGGAATATCCATTATGTGCCCTAATTATTTGTAATGTTTTGCAAAATATATATTGGGAAATTACACATTACATGCTATTTTTATTGAGCAATGACTGGAAAGTTGATAAAAGTAAGGTTAGAGTTTGACAAATAAAATAGAGGTTAGAATCTGCTCAAATCTGTTGTGAATAGGGGTGTGTAAAATATGTGTAAACATATTTACAAATAATTTGTTATATTATTAACAATTATGTTTAAAACTATAAATAACGATTATTATAATAAAGGAAATCAATTTCCCAAGTTATTCCGTTTGTATTTTGGCATGTATAATTTTTTTCACTGTAAAAATGAAGTTATTGGACAGCCCTGTCTATTGAAAGCAATCATTATCTATGAACATAGATTATCATTGGTAAGTAATGAAATTTAGGTTAGGAGTTATCTATGGGTTAGGAAAAGGTTAGAAAGTATTGGAAGCACTTGACTGTTTTGTTATTTCAAGTCTTATCTTTCTTTAAAGTGATAACTGATATTAATCGTTTTAATTTTCCATTCCATTTTCGTTTATAAAGTGAAAAAGTTATGCCAAAACCGAGCAAGAAAAAGGCTGCATCTTCATCGTCTTCTGACTCAGATTCAGGACCGGAGGATGTATGTTAAAATTAACGATATTTTGCAGTTTAAAATGTAGTAAATATGAAATATTTCCTTAAGGATTAAAGGTTTTTCTTGTTTTTGTTTGATGTGTCAATTTGCTAATTTAAATACATTATGAATCTTTTCAGAGAAATCCACCAGCCAAGAAACCGAAGACTGAAAACACTAGTAAGAAGCAGCAAGATGATGATATTTCTTGGAGTCTGGGAAAGAGACGTTTTGCCAAGTTATGCGAATTTAAGGGTAACTGGTATGTTGATATTCGTGAATTTTATGATGTAGGCGGGGACTTAAAACCTGGAAAAAAAGGTATAATGTTGACAATGGAGCAATGGCAGAAACTAAAGTCTCAAATAGATTCTATTGATGAGGCAATTAAGAGGAATGTTTAGTGTTCTATGTGTTCATGTAATATATTTTTCTGTAATGGCTAAACTTTTGAAAAGGACATTATGTTACTGAAGTATTGATAAATAACTTACGGCATTTGTAATATTTTGTCTAATAAAGTGGTTACATTAATGAAAAGAAAGCTGTTAGATATGCTTTATAAGGTTTATGAAGACTGTTTGGATTACAAAGATACAAAATAAATTAAAATAGTAAGAATAGATTAAAAGAGTAGAACATTGTAGAACAGTTGAGAATAAAGGTTGAATTCATTATTATGAGTTTACAAACCAATTGCCATCACTTATACAAATATTTTGGGTGTTAATTAACTTATTTATTACTTATAAATTAGAAAAAACTTGTTTCATATCATGTTGATTGGTTAAAATTTCTCCCGAGTATTGAAATTTAAAACGCAACTCAATGTTACGTTTTATATGTCTAATTAATATCTAAAAATAGTGAATTGATTAATGAATAACGCAATTTAATTGATCTTAATGCATTTTTGGTCCTCATTTATTTAAAAAAGCCGCTATATTAATATGCCCTCTATGTTTATAATTGAAAACAAAAGTCCGAGTAGTTGAAGCTATTTCTGGTAGATGGAACTACAATGCAGAAATGAATTGATAAAAGAGTTGGTGCCATTATGCGAAACTTTTAAAAACTTTTTATAATAAATATATGTCTAAAAAACGGAATAAAAGCAAAAAATATAAGATACTAAACTTTTACGACCATTAAAAGTTGAAGAACAATATGAAATGAGTAACTATTAATTACGAATTAGCAAAATTCACTACTATTAGTTGTAATTATAAATATTTTTATTTGTTTGCCAATTAGAAAGAAAAGCTAAAGAAGAAATTACATATTATGTAACGTCTTATCTGACATTTAAAGATTCTTCTTTAATAAATCAATAAATTAATGAAAAGACATTTTTGTATAAAAATTACCAATGTGTCATGATTTCTATATTTTTATATTTCAATTGATTATTATGTAATTATTCTAAATTAGATGATACTAAATAATTTTATTAGTACTGACGAATTATAATCATTTATATCTAACTAGTTCTTCCCCCTGCCCCCGG